GTTGAGCTATAGGCGCCGAGCCCATCCTTAAGCTTTTTGACCCACCCTCCAACAAACTTTCTCCTTAGCCAGGCTGACCCCTCCGAAGCTTTCTCTTCTCTTCCTGCCCCTCCCCACTTTCTGCTGTAATCAGATCCACCTGTTGCAGGTGCCCTAGCTGTGGGGACAAGCATCTGGCAGGTATAGGGTGTCAAGCTGAAGCCTTGAGGAAGCCTTTGAAAGGGGGCAAGCAGGTAGACGTTCTAAGCTAGACACCAGACCTGCCCAAGAAGGGAAGAAGTCCTTAGCATGAAGTGTGTGAAATGCTGTGACTGATTTAGCTAGCCAAAAGAAAAATATCAAGTCTTCTTATGGAAGGGTATTTGAATGCAGGTGGGAGCAGAGTAGTGAGAAAGATGGTTGGGGGAGAGTTGGTGACATTTGTTGAGGTAAAAGACCCAGGCGAGTAGTTTAGTTTGAGCCATGCCAAAGGTGCCTGTGGGATATCCCCGCAGGGCCAGGGAGGCAGGTGGGTCTGTGATGGAAACTGGAGAGCCAGTCTGCATCAAGAGGTACTTCCTAGACCTTGGGGAGGCATCCCGCACAGCAAGTGGGGGGGTAGGTCCGCTTGTACGAAAAGAGCACCTTTGTGATGTTCCGCACACCTTAGCCTGCTCTCCCCTGCTGCCTCCACGATATAGAAGCATCCAGAATTTTAGGCTCCAATAAACTTACAGTAGAGAAGGTTCTCTTTTATCTCTTCCCATTTTTTCACTCTCAGTATTGGGAAAAGGATACTGTCACCCGGTTTTTGCAATAATGAGGCCAGAACAAGAGAGTGATGGTCGCCAGGTAGTGATGGCTAACAGCCCGACTATTATAAAGTGTCCAAAGACAAAAACTAACGTCTGAATTCTCCAAGGCCGAGCGGCCAACAGCCTCCAGTGCTCTTTGTTCTGCAAACCCGGGCAGGAGCTCTCGGGAGACTCCGGACCGTGGTGGCAGCGCGTTTTACGCGCTGGCGCTTGTAGCCGCCGCGGCCATCTTGGCTGAGGGTACAAAGACAAAGCAACTGGGAGCTGCTGAGTGGCGTCACCGTAGGCACGACTACGTGGGAACAAAGTTCGAGAGGCCGTGCTGCCGCCATCTTTTACGATGGCATCTTCCCGTTTTGATTATGTCCCTGAAGCCACTAGCTTTTGGTTTTCATCCACTCTAATGGCCCACGAGAGCGGGTCCTGATCACGGCCCTCCGGCCCTGCGGTCCGCGCTGCGGGGCGTTCTTGAGTAAACCCAGGCCCGGCAAGGAGAGGTGGCTGGCCCGCCGCCGGGGCTGCCAGTTCTTATGGCACCGCCTGTAGCCCAGCTCCCTGCCCGTGAACCAAACGGGGCCGGGTCCGAGCGCAGGAAGCCTGGGGCCGTGAGCTTCGCAGACGTGGCTGTGTACTTCTCCCCAGAGGAATGGGGGTGTCTGCGGCCCGCGCAGAGGACCCTGTACCGGGACGTGATGCGGGAGACCTACGGTCACCTGGGCGCGCTTGGTGAGGCCCTCCCCGATCGCCTGGGCCCACATCCCGGTGCGCCCTGCCCCGTCTGGGTCGCTCACGTGGAGTGGGAGGCCCTTGGCTGGGCAGACCGGACTGTGGGGGCGGCCACCCGGCAGCGTGGGGTTTGCGTTCTTCCGCAGGAGTTGGAGGCACCAAGCCAGCGCTCATCTCCTGGGTGGAGGAAGAGGCCGAACTATGGGGTCCAGATGCCCAAGATCCCGAAGTGGCTCGGTGCACGACAGATGCGGACCCAGGTGTAGTAGTGGGCATTCAGTCCCTGTGCCTGGCACGTCTTGGTGCCCTCTGCCAGCTCCAGTTATTAGCTTAGCTTCTTCCCTGAGTTGCTTTCCCAGCCTAGCCCATTACACCTGGCCTCCGGATGCACTCTAGAAATGGGCTGCGCTGGTGACGCAGCCCTACCACACCAGCATGGGCTCAGTTCTGGCCCCCTGACTCCTCACATCTAAACTCCATTGACTATACCGCTACATCAACCCCCTGCATCTTCCTACACTTGGTTTTTCCCCTGTTTTCTTCTTTCAGTTCATCCTGGCGACCATTGCAAAGCACCCAGCCCCATCCCCCAACTTGTCAGTGCGGGCCACGTTCATGCCTGGTTTTGCTCTTTTCCTTCTGGAGCATCCTCAAGTGTCCACTCAACTTCATGATTCAGCTCAGATGTCCTTTCTCCTCTCACCTAGGGACATTTCGCTAGTTCTGAGACAGTATATACTGTTTTGTCCCTCCACTCTTTCTGTCTCTGCCTTTAAGGAAAAAGTGTCACTCCTAGTTCCTCTACCTGTACTGTACTGAGTCCCAGAAGCAGCCATGGGTCCAGAAGGCAGCTGTATCTAAGAGGCTTGTCTGTCACCATGTGGGGTATGGGATTCAAGGACCAGGACCAGCCAGAGACTGAGCTCTCCCCTTATCTCCCAGCAGATTCCAGAAACAAGGAAGAGAAAAGACAAAGAGAAGGGATAGAAGCACTGGAGAAGATCTTTACTATGGCTGCCCAGCCTCCTGATCTGAAGGCTCCCCAGCTGCCCTCTGATGGGTTCCCTTATGGTTTGAAGCAGCTATTCAAGGCACCTGCTCGGGGTCGTCCCCCACTCTGTGCCCATCCCCCTGTCCCACGAGCAGACAAGCGTCATGGCTGCTACCTGTGCGGGAAGAGCTTTGCATGGCGTTCCACACTGGTGGAGCACCTCTATACTCACACAGGCGAGAAGCCGTTCTGCTGCCCTGACTGTGGAAAGGGCTTCAGCCAGGCTTCCTCCCTCAGCAAACACAGGGCCACCCACCGAGGGGAGCGGCCCCACCGCTGCCCTGATTGTGGCCGGGCCTTCACCCAGCGCTCTGCCCTCACCACCCACCTGCGGGTCCACACAGGCGAGAAGCCCTACTGCTGTGCTGACTGCGGCCGCTGCTTCAGCCAGAGCTCTGCCCTCTACCAGCACCAGCGGGTTCACAGTGGCGAGACCCCTTTCCCCTGTTCAGACTGTGGTCGTGCCTTCGCCCATGCTTCAGACCTTCGGCGCCATGTGCGCACCCACACAGGCGAGAAGCCCTACCCGTGCCCAGACTGTGGGCGCTGCTTCCGCCAGAGCTCTGAGATGGCAGCTCACAGGCGCACTCACAGTGGCGAGCGTCCCTACCCCTGTCCTCAGTGTGGCAGATGTTTTGGCCAGAAGTCAGCCATGGCCAAGCACCAGTGGGTTCATCGGCCAGGGGCTTCTGGGCACAGGGGCCGGGGTGCTAGTGGGCTGTCTGTGCCCTTGGCTCCTGGTAGAGGGGACCTAGACCCACCTGTTGGCTTCCAACTCTACCCAGAGATATTCCAGGAGTGTGGGTGATGGCCTCAAAAGTGACAAGGCAAAGGGTGAAGATGTAGACATTGCCTACAGGCAGGGCTCAGGAATCCTGGTAAGAGCTGGATCTGGGGCATAAGGACAGTGCATCTTAGGCTCATTTGCTGATTCTTTGCTCCCTACTGCCCCAGACTAAAGGGCCCCCTTTGTTGAGGCAAGGTTGAGGTAAAAACTCCCACTAAACCTCCATATGGGGAAGCAAATGTTTCTCAGGTCAGAGATGTTAAAGGGAAAACCTTGTTTTAACCTTTTTGTTTTTGTTGTACAAGTTAAAACCCAAAGGCTATGTACTGATCTGGCCTGCAGCTGCCCTATGTATATATGTATTTTGGCTGAGGCAGTATTTTTAAGTTTTTAAGTGTTATAAATTAGTAGTCAAGATTTAAAAGTCAGGTTATTTTACACAAAAATCCTTGTTTCTGGCTTCTCTTAAAAAATCCAAAGATTGGGCAGTTTGACCCAAGCTCCCACAAAGCCACAAGTGGTGGGAGCTGAGCAGCAGCTGCCTGCATGGATGAAGCCAGTGCCAGAGTTTTCCCTTTACCTTGGCCTTGCCACTCATTACTGACTTCTGATCGAGCATCAGGTGCCATTTTGTCGTGGCTCATATTTAGTGTTTTTGGTGCTTAAAAGTAGAACAAAGAAGAACATGAAATATTTCTTTTTCTTTCTTTTTTTTGAGACAGAGTCTCGCTATGTTGCCCTCATAGTGGGCACCATAGTTGCCACCATAGAGGGCCATGGTGTCACAGCTCACAGCAACCTCAAACTCTTGGGCTCAAATGATCCTCTTGCTTCATCCTCCCAAGTAGCTGGGACTACAGGTGCCTGCCATCATGCCCAGTCTGTGACGTATTTCTTGAACCTATAACTCTTGTCAAAGCAGGGTTTCTCTATCTGGCATTTTCCATTCATGTTCCCATGGTTATTTTAATTTGCAAACTGTGGCCTACAGCATTCAGGTTTTCTGGAATCAGAAAAGATGGCAGGTAGATAGCACATATGTGAAATGGTGGCAGGAGAAAAGTAAAAGTAGGTTTTACTTGTACCTCTTTGCTTGTATCACATTTTATCATTTACAGAGTACTAGCTTGTCCATCAATTCATTTCACCTTTGTAACTACCTGGGAAAGAAAGCAATTTATAGAAGAGCCAGTCAGGACTGAGTCTTTCATCCCAAACCAAGTGGTATATCAGCTGTGCCATAGTCACACTCTCAGCTGACTGGCAGTTTTTGAAAAGGAAGGTCCCAGTATTCTCTGCAGTCCTCCATGGGTATCCCAAGGCCTTCTTAGCCATCCTAGACCCAACCCAGGAGGGCCTCATCACATTTTTAAACTGGAAAAGATCTTAGCTTTCCCATCCTTTTGTGTTTGGGACAGAGACCAGGGAAGACCCATTAATCTGTCCAAGGTCACATACATACACATAACAGGTTTTTGGTTTTTTTTTTTAATGAGACAAGAGTCTTATTATGTAGCCCCTTGGTAGAGTGCTGTCCATCACAGCTCACAGCAACCTTAAACTCTTGGGCTCTAGTGATTTTGCCTCAGCCTCCAAGTAGCTGAGACTACAGGCGCCTGCCACACCTGGCTATTTTTTGTTACAGTTGTCGTTTAGCTTGCCCTGGCTGGCCCTTGTTGCATGTGGCTGGTGCCTTAACCACTGTGCTATGGGCGTCGAGCCCATAACAGGGTTCTGAATTCCTTGCCAATGTTTTCCAGGGTTCTGGAGGCATCTGCCCACCTTCTGTGATAACACCTGTGGGCTGAACTGGATTAGGACAGACTGGTCAAGTGTCAGGAAAGCCCAGGTACCAGATGAGTCTGACAAAACAGCCACATTAAAGACAAAGGCAGGCTTGGCGCCTGTGGCTCAAATGGCTAAGGCGCCAGCCACATACACCTAAGGTGGTGGGTTCCAATCCAGCCCAGGCCGCCAAACAATGACAGCTGCAACCAAAAAATAGCCAGGTGCCTTGGCGGGCACCTGTGGTCCCAGCTACTTGGGAGGCAGAGGCAGGAGACTCGCTTGAGCCCAGGAGTTGGAGGTTGCTGTGAGCTGTGATGCCATAGCACTCTACCCAGGGGGATAGCTTGAGGCTCTGTCTCAAAAAAAATAAAATTAAAATTAAAAAAAAAAAAAAAAGACGAAGGCAATAGAGAAACCAGCCAGAAATGACAGTCCCAAGGCAAACAAAACCAAAGCTAGTATCTTTGCTGTCTTTGGGTGCACCATGAACAGAAGGGGACTAGGCCAGAAACATTTGGGGTTAGATTTGTTGCCAGAGGGGACTGTACCCCTCTATAGTCCCAAACTGCACAGAATCCCTCACCTGTTACCTCCCTTGGTAGAATGCCGTGGCGACACAGCTCATGGCAACCTCCAGCTCTTGGGCTTTGGTGATTCTCTTGCCTCAGCCTCCGGAGTAGCTGGGACTACAGGCGTTTGCCACAACACCTGGCTGTTTTTTGTTGCAGTTTGGCTGGGGCCAGGTTTGAACCCGCCACCCTCTGTATATGGGGCTGGCACCCTACTCACTGAGCCACAGGTGCCGCCCTAACCTGGAGAAACTTCTATGAAAGAAAATTTGGAGGAAAGGCACTGTTCAGATGAAGTAATGAACAAACTGGATTCCAACCTCATCTTCAAATCTCATGTTAGGGCTCCACAACCCTAAGCTTTCTTAGATTAACTTGTGTCTACCTTACCAGAAGGGGAACTTAGGATGAGTAGAGGCACCCAAGTGGCAATAAGAGCTACCTACTTTTTATTCCCAGCGTAAAACTGCATCCCCACCCCTAGCCCTCTGTGCTGCCTGGGGAAAGCCCAGTTTTGCCCAGACTCAAAACCATCTAGACCCTGCCAACTTGCTGATTAAAGGTGACATAATTACTACTTAGAGATCTCTGAGTGCTTTGAAGTTTACAGAACTTGCTTAGGGCCCAGAAACCAGACCCAGCTTCTCTGCTTCCTGCTCCCATGACCCAGCTTTCCACCATTTCATCAATTTTTTAGTGTCATGAAACCCCTAAGCCTCAGCTCCACTCCATTTTCAGCTCCTCACTTTCATTAGAGGTAGAGTTCTCTTTTTTTCTCTGCTACCTCAGGTCATTGAGGCTCTCTCAGGAACAATTTAAACTGGGAAGAGTTTTCTCATGGCTGCATTACAGAAAAGCCCTACCCAGAGGGCCAGAGTGAGACGTGAAGGCCATGGCGATGTGGCCTATCCCTAGTTTGTTTGAGACATTTAAAATGAAGGTAGAGGTCTGGGCACAGTGGCTCACGACTGTAATCCTAGCGCTCTGGGAGGCCGAGGCTGGTGGATTGCCTGAGTTCACAGGTTTAAGACTAGCCTGAGCCAGAGTGAGACCTTGTCTCTAAAAATAGCCAGGGGTTGTGTCGGGTGCCTGTAGTCCATCCCAGCTACTTGGGAGGCTGAGGCAAAAGAATTGCTTGAGCCCAAGAGTTTGAGTTTGCTGTGAGCTATGATGTCATAGCAATCTACTGTGAGCTATGATGTCATAGCAATCTACTGAGTGTGACAAAGTGAGACGCTATCAAAAAAAAAAGGTAGAGGGCTGAGCACGTTATCTCACACCTAATCCTAGTGCTTTGGAAGGCTGAGGTGGGTGGATTGCTTGAGCTCAGCAGTTAGAGACCAGCCTGAGGAAGAGTGAGACGCCTTACCTATTAAAAATAGGAAAATTAATAAGGTCTAGTGGTGTACCTCTAGTCCTACCTACTTGGAAGGCTGAAGCTGGAGGATCGTGTGAGCTCAGGAGTTTGAAGTTGCAGTGAGTTATGATGATGCCACTGTGCTCTAACCCAGGACAACAAAAGTAAGACTCTCTCAAAAAAATAAATAAATAAATAAAATGATTGTAGTTATTAATCTGAGCGCTGAAGATTCCTAAAATTCCTTGGAATGTTTGTGTGTGGTGTTTTTTATAGAAATAGGACATGGAAAGAAGTTTGTGATTTAAGCTAAAAATCTACTCTAGGTCAGTTTTTCAAAGTAAGGCCTCCCTGCCACAGAATCACATGGGGTATCTTTTAAAAATGTGTGGCTATCCCCCTGGGCCCTGCTCCCCATCTATTGAATCTGAATCTCGGGGTTGGAATTTTATCCCTGTGAAAGTTTAAGAGAACCACTGGTCTGAACTGTTAAGTTTGAGAGAACCACTGGTCTGAACTTTTTTTTTTTCTTTTTTTTCTGAGACTGAGTCTCAAGCTTTCACCCTGGCCAGAGTGCTATGGTGTCATAGCTCAAGTGATCCTCTTGCTTTAGTTTTTCTACTTTTAGTCAAGTCGAGGGTCTTGCTTTTGCTCAGGCTCATCTCAAACTTGTGAGTATAAGCAATCCATCCCACTTGGCATTCCAGAGTGCTAGGATTACAGGTGTGAGCCACTGCACCCGGCCTGAACTTTTTAAAAAAAAAAATTTTTTTTTTGAGACAGAGTCTCACTTTGTCACCCTTGGTAGAGTGCTGTAGCATCACAGCTTACAGCAACCTCCAGCTCTTGGGCTTAGGAGATTCTCTTGTCTCAGCCTCCCAAGTAGCTGGGACTACAGGCACCTGCCAAAACACCCGGCTATTTTTTTCTTGCAGTTTGGCCCGGGCTGGGTTTGAACCTGCCACCCGTGGTACATGGGGCTGATGCCCTACTCACTGAGCCACAGGTGCTACCCCTGAACTTTCTTTTTTTTTGAGACAGAATTTTGCTCTGTCACCCTGAGTACAATTGCAGTGGTGTCATCATAGCTCACTGCAACCTCAAACTTCTGGGCTCAAGCAATCCTCCCACATACCCAGGACTACAGGTGCACATTAATTTTTCTAATTTTTGTAGAAATGGGCTGTTGCTCTTGCCTTTGCTCAGGCTAGTCTTGAACACCTCAGTTCAAATGATCCTCCTGCCTCGGACTCCCAGAGTTCTAGGATGACTGACATGAGCTGTGCCCAGCCCAACATGTTATTTTCTAGTTGCTTGCAAGAGTACTATTTGGTCCCAGGGCCTGAAATGTCAGGGCCACAGGTTGACTCACCCCCACACAAAGACTTCCATTTCCTTTCTTCTTCCCAACGGGTTCTGTACCATGGTTGGTCTCCTGGGTATGTGGGATCATGCTGAATATACAGAATATCTCATCTAGTATCTGACAAAGCTTTTACAGGGCTTCTGCTTTGCATGCAGAAAGGCAGCAGTTCATGCAGAAGTGCCTCTCACACCAAGAACCTTTGTGAGGGCTCTCCCTAGCCTGGGCCCTGCAGTGTTGGCCATGTTGGTTGGATCATAGCCTTGGCTGTACACCAAATGGCTCTGTGCTGCTGTGCACCAGGGGATGATGCTGTGGACAAAGTGCCACTCAACTCAGGACATGTACAGAGCTCCTCTTCACCATGGATGCAATCAAGCTGGTAGACTCCCAAACTTCTACCTTTGATTAGGTGGTGCTCGGTCAAGTTGTAACCCTATCAAAGGCTATCCTGAGCCTTTCACTACTGTGGGGGTATGGCTGACAGAGGCTGGGTGCCTGATGATGTCCCTTTATATAGATAGGACTGTGGTGCCCAGAGGCTGGCTGGAAGTCTGCCACTCTTTCATTCTAGTCACTAGTGAATTTCCATGTGGAAATGCTGATGCTGGAGCAGCGTGAAATCCTGGCCCAACTTCTGCCATATTTGTTTGGGGCTTGTGGCTCCTGGTAGGAAGAGTACAGGCAATGGATCTTCTCAGTGCCGTGGCTGGAGGACTTGCCACACATTTTGTAAGGTGTGGCTCCTCCCCTATATGAATTTTCTAGTGAGAAGCAGAGAAAAGTGAGGTCAAAGAAAAGGGGGGGTTGTTTGTTTTGAGACAAAGTCTCATTATGCTGCCCTCCATAGAGTGCCGTGGTGTTATAGCTTACAGCAACCTCAAAGTCATAGCTCACAGCAACCTCAAACTCTTGGGCATAAGCGATTCTCTTGCCTCAGCCTCCCAAGTAGCTGGGACTACAGGTGCCTGCCACAATGCCAGCTATTTTTTGGTTGCGGTTGCCATTGTTGTTTAGCTGGCCCGGGCCAGGTTTGAACCTGCCAGCCTCAGTATATGTGGCCGACACTGTAACAACTGTGCTACGGGTTCAGAGCCAGAGAAAAGTGTTTGGGGAGGAACTTTTGTTTCTCTCTCTCTTTTTTTTAGAGACAGAGTTTCACTTTATCGACCTCGGTATAGTGCTGTGGCATCACAGCTCACAGCAACCTCCAACTCTTGGGCTTAGGCAATTCTCTTGCCTCCGCCTCCTGAATAGCTGGGACTACAGGAGCCTACCAGAACACCCGAATGCTCAGCTATTTTTTTGTTGTTGCAGTTTGGCTGGGGCTGAGTTTGAACCCTCCACCCTTGGTATATGGGGCTGGCGCCCTACCCACTGAGTCACAGGTGCTGCCCAGAACTTTTGTTTCTCATCTGTGAATGCTGTAGGGATGACCGGGGGTGCCCCATGTCCAGCTCTTCCCACACTCAGTGCTGCACTTGTAAGGTGTTCTGTCAGTGTGGGCTCTCTAGTGCTGGACTAGATGAGCCACTCTTGGCACAGGTTTAAGGAGAAATAGACATTGAGATGAGAGAGATGCGTGGAGCTTGAAGCTGTTCCTCTGGAGGGCAGAAAGGTACCCCCACATCATTTGTGGGATGACATCTGTGATTCTATTTGTAAGCCTTTATTGGGAGTGTTTTTCTCCAGCCTTTTACCATGTGGCATTCTCCAAATTCTTGTTTTCATCTCTTGAGAATAGAAGATGCCATTTTCCAGCCCATCAGTTTCTTCCCCTTCTAGGCACCAAGAACACATGCAATCCATGGTTGCTGCCATGGATTCACTCACACAGAAAAATTCAGCTCACTGTCAAGAAGGTTACCAAGCTTGTTTCAGCATGGAGAGTAGAAGTAAAAGGACAAGAATTGGATGGTATTGGGAGTGCCCATAGCTCAGCGGGGCGCCAGCCACATACACCAAGGGTGGTGGGTTCAAGCCTGACCCAGGCCTGCTAAACAACAACAAATGCAACCAAAAAATAGCTGGGCTTTGTGGTGGGCGCCTGTAGTCCCATCTACTGGGAGGCTAAGGCAAGAGAATCACTTAAGCCCAAGAGTTTGAGGTTGCTGTGATGTCATAGCACTCTACCCAGGGCAACAGCTTGAGACTCTGT